ACATTCTCAGTCCTTTAGTAAATCAGCTTCTGTATCTATTAATTTAAAATGTAGTCATTCTCCTTTAAACTGCTCTTTCTATTGTCTGCTGTGAAATAATGTGATTGTATCAATACTTCTGACATGTAGAGATTTTTTTATCCTGACCTAAAGCAGCATCGGCTCTTCTATTTCCTATGGCCGTGTCCTCCATAATCTTCATTAACTCGCTGATAAGATACTGCCAAGTTAGCAAATGTTTGTTCTTATTCGGTTTGAACTTCTTATTTGTTTTAAAGCTGGACTAGATAAAAAAATAAGACTGCTCCTGGTTCCAGCAGGATAAGAGTGAAGCCCAAAACAATCAGCTTCTCCCTCCCCTCCAAAGTCATTGTCTGGGGTTATCTGGACCCCGGCACGGAGGCTGCTCTCTGTGCCATGCTGGGGACACATTTCAATCACCCTTCTGGGAGTTGGGCAATAACTTAATGCTGATCGTATTATCCTATACATAGTGACAGCAGGGTGACTGTAGGCAGGCTTGGATTCTACAGGCAATGGATTGGCTAGAATTGCTGGGTTTTGTAGTGCCACAATTACAGAGCTGTCAGGCTCTGAACAAAGGCACAGGTCTGGAATGAGAACCTCTATTGTAGTATTTTGGTACCACATTGTATCAGTGTTCCTGCCTTAAATTAGTAGTACTCAGTATTACATTGTATCAGTGTTCCTGCCTTATAATAGTAGTACTCAGTATTACATTGTATCAGTGCTCCTGCCTTATATTAGTAGTCCTCACTATTACATTGTGTCAGTGCTCCTGCCTTAAATTAGTAGTACTCAGTATTACATTGTATCAGTGTTCCTGCCTTATAATAGTAGTACTCAGTATTACATTGTATCAGTGCTACTGCCTTATAATAGTAGTACTCAGTATTACATTGTATCAGTGCTCCTGCCTTAAATTAGTAGTACTCAGTATTACATTGTATCAGTGCTCCTGCCTTAAATTAGTAGTCCTCACTATTACATTGTGTCAGTGCTCCTGCCTTATATTAGTAGTATTCACTATTACATTGTATCAGTGCTCCTGCCTTATATTAGTAGTACTCAGTATTACATTGTATCAATGCTCCTGCTTTATATTAGTAATCCTCACTATTACATTGTATCAGTGCCCCTGCCTTATATTAGTAGTATTCACTATTACATTGTATCAGTGCTGCTGCCTTATATTAAAGGTACTCAGTATTATAATGTATCAGTGTTCCTGCCTTATATTAGTAGTACTCAGTATTACATTGTATCAGTGCTACTGCCTTATATTACTAGTATTTGGTATTACATTGTATCAGTGCTCCTGCCTTATATTAGTAGTATTCACTATAACATTGTATCAGCTATTTCTTTCTATTACTTCTATTGCATTGTATCATATTTTCCCTTCTATTTATACAAGTACATTCTCATGTAGGACCACTGATCTCTAAACAGTAAGGCGACTAATACCAAGGTTTAGCCCCTTATCCGATGTGGAGAGATAAATAGATAATAGATAGATGGGTAGATAGATAGATAGATAGATAGATAGATAGATAGATAGATAGATAGATAGATAGATAGATAGCTTTTGTCATACCCTGTTTCTTCTCATGATATAGCAGCAAACACCCCCTTCACCCTACTAATATAAAAGGGTCCATAAGTCCCGTAGTCTGCCCCTGATACCAGCAATGGCAATCACTACACAGTACAGATTGCAGCTTTGTGATTCACACTTGGTGCTTCTCCTGTTTAGGGAGCCAGGGATCAGCTTGGCAATACTGGGACTTACAGTTCTACAGCTGCAGGTGATCTGAGCTTCAATGAAAGGTAAATGGGTGAAATAGAAGCAGTCATTCATTTTCTGCCATGTATACATTGCTCTTAGTTAACCTCAGAGTTACCTAGCAGCTCTGTGAATGTTTTTTTTTTCCTCCTGATTGTCACATCAGCAATAATTCAAGGCATGCTGGGATCTGTAGTCCCTCTGCTCTGAAACAAATGCCCAGTAAGCTGTATAATTGGCATCAGAGTATACACACTGCAAGGGAGCTACACCTTTATAATCTTAACTACAGCAAATCTGAACAGAAGCAGAAGTATGTGCAAACCCTGGCACTCCGTTGTGGAAGCTTTGCTGGGACTTGTAGTCCACTTCTAGCATGAAGCTACAGCTTACTTGAAAGACACAGGGCTAGGGTGCTGACAATCACTGTTAAGTCTCAGTGTGTGTCCTGGCATTATATAGGAAGAGAGGGACACTAAGTGGACAGGGCATCCTCATGCACAATGACAGCAGTAAAAGCTCCATAAACATGATAGCTCGGCTGGCTATTGGCTTACCCCGGGACTTGTCCACAAAGCTGGTGATTGTGTTGGCAGACTTGGATGACTGAAAGAAGCTGGCATTGATCCCAAGTTTTTCAGCCGTGGAGAAAGTTTTGTAAATGGACAGCATGTATTCGTGGGGCACCACTGGCACTGCCCGGGGTATGTCCTGGCTGTCTGTTGGCAGCAGCTTGCCCTCTCTGCGCTGCCTTCTCACCCCCCTCGCCTGCTGGCTGCTGGGGATGGATGCCTGCTGGAAACAGGGTAGATCCCATAGGAAGAAGCAGAGGAGGAGAGCCGCAGGGAGGGAGCTCCGGGGTTTATCCATGGCAGCGGACTGGGCAGAAGACTCCGGCGGAGGTCGGGAGCACGCTTCTTCTCTAGCGAGTCTCACCCAGGCTTTGCTGGAAGGGAGGGCGAGGAGCGGCACGCCCCCTAGTGCCCGCCCTACACCGTGCTCACTGCTGGGGAGGTCAGCGGAGCCTGGGCTGCCACTGTATGGGGCACAGCTAGGAGGGAAGGGTGCCAGCTATGCACCAATGAGGCTGATTGTTTCCTGCAGGTGTCATGCTATCACTACCATGCAACAAATATCACTCAGGTATAGCTACAGCCCGCAGGGAAGGAAAGGGTTCAAGTGATATCCAAATAAAAGGCTATTTCAAATGCCGATTGAATCACTTACAATGGATGCTGCTTATTGATAAAAAATAAATAAATAGTTTCCTGCAGATCAGCTGCTTCCCTGAGCACTGACCCTGATATCCTGTTTTAGTGTGACTCTTTTCCCTTGCAGGGTCCTATGGAGCCATCCTTGTGTGTGCTGGTAAGCTGTGTGTATGTGTCCACAAACACACAGGGATAGTAAGGCTAAGCCATTCCCCTCCACCCCCTTTCTTCTTTCCTCCCCCACAGTGGCATCACAAGCGGGTTGCAGGCAGGGGGAGTGGGGGCTGCGCCGCGTGACACCATCAGAGGGAGTGACATCAAAATGACTAATAGTCATTTTGGTGTCACCCCGTTTAAAAAGTCGGCATCCCCGCAGCTGCATAAGAGAGGAGGTGACCTCGTGGTGTACCTTATCCCGCCGGATGAACATCCCGACCTCCCTCTGCCGGAATCCATCATTGAAATGGAGTCCCCAAGATCACCGCGCATGCGTTCAGATGTCCCAGCGTTGCCTGAGGAAGGAACCAAGTTGGGTTCTTAAACGTTGCCACACATTGTGAGGCCACTTTAAAGAAGTAAAAAAAGACATTCTTGAATTTTGGAGTGCCAGTGATTTCTTCACTTTTAATGGATCCATTTACAGCACCATCCACATTCACTACAGCACCCACCCATAACTAGTTGGGACTTTATTCCAGTCCGGAGTGCGATGGGATATGGACAGAAATGACGTCCCGGCCCCAGGTAACACCCAGCCTGGGAATGCCTCTGCTCCCCCATACTCCCTTCTCTAAGCTAGTAGACTGACAGTTGTGGAGAGTTCTCTGTCCCTTGTGACAGGAAGTTCAAGGAAGCCAAGCTGTGAAAGTTGGAGCTGTTCAGAAACAAGATGACGGTAATTACTTGGTCAAGAATGTAAAAAAAATACTTTGCTGGGTGATGTATATTTCATTGATCTGGATTCAATAATGAAAAAAAAAGTTTGAGCATTTAATACTCCTTTAAAGCCATCAAGCAAGGATTGCCATCGGTGTCCCATTGGGGACATTTCCGTTCACTTCCAGTTCGGTAGACTCAACAGGAAGTGAGGAAATACCTTTTTAATTTGAGGGAAGTCTGCCTCTTAAAGGAGAACTATGAGGTGAGTGCTTTTCACTCACCTCATAGTTCTAGCCGACCTGTGACAATGAGACTGTCAAAGGTCGGCTCAGTAGATCGGGAGGTGAGCGAACACATACCGGGTTCACTCGCCTCTCGATCCTGTCACGGCTCTCTGCCGTGACAGGGGGAGGGGCTGGATTCCCCTCTCCCCGCTCCGATCTGCCAGCACTGACTGGCGGAACGGACGGGGGAGGCGGCGGGTACAGCTGGCTCTGCCTCTAGATAGGCAGAGCCAGCTGTCACTCACGCAGCTGTTCGGATCCCGTCATCTAAGTCGTGATCCGCTCCGGCTGCGGCGTCTCAGTATACCGCAAGCTGTAGCTCGCGGTATACTGAGCTTAGGGTAACGGGAGGACGCTAGTTTGTGTCCTCCCGTTACCCTAAGGAGAACTATGGGGAAGAACACTTACCCCATAGTTCTCCTTTAAGTAGGGTATACAGGATTAGAATTTCAAACTAACGAAATAGATTTCAACTTTCTAGTCATTGATGTGGTCAAATCAATGATTGATTTCAACCGCAGTGATGGAAAAGATTGAAGGACAATTGCCAACTCCCTGATGGCATTATCCAACGTTCTGTCTGGAATTTCCGTACGAACGTTCATGCGAAAATCTACCCGTGTTATCCTACTTTAGTTGGCACAGGAACCAGTGTCCCCATTGGATGATTTCCTCTCTGTTCCTGTTCTGGTGGCAACTCACAATTTTGAATTCACCTTCACTTTCATTCCTGGTGATATTGGTGATGAGGGCAATAAGGAAGAGTGAATTTGGCCCTTTTTACACTGTTCGATCAGTACTGAGATCTCCTCCTGATCGGAGCAGTATGGATCGGATGTCACTGTGCGTCCATTTTTTTCCTCTATCTTGCAATGTGGGGAAAAACTGAAATGACCGGATCCCACATCGGTCGGTGGGGAATCAGATGTAAATTGACAAATGTCTGTTTATATCAGATTACCTCCAATCTGGCACGATCAGGTGAAATGGAACTCTGTTCCATTTTTTTTTTGTGCCTGGCCGGAGTCAGGGGCAACTGGATGTAAACGGATGTCCGTCTCTTTAGATCTGGCTGCCCATAGACTAACATTGGCTATCCGATCAGGTCCGCCTGAAAAACTGACAAGTGGACCTGATCGGACCACCCGTTTCAAAGGGGCATTAACATCACTAAAAACTCGACAGAGGTGCTAAGCCATCACTACACTGGCCAAATCTAAGAAAAAAAAAATTGCCTTGGGTTATCTTAAAGGCACCGGGCTGGGGTGGTAACAATCACTATTCGGTATCAGTGTGTGCCCTGGCATTACATAGGAAGAGAAGTACACTTCATCATCACGTAAGTGGACAGAGCATCCCTATGTACAATGACATCCCTATGCACAATTATTATTTTCCGCAGGTGTCATTCTATCAAACCAGGGCTGTAGCTACAATGGGGCGAGTGAGGCACCCGCCTCAGGTGCAGCTGAGAGGGGGCCTAGTCAGGGCCAGCCTGGCTGCGCCCCCTTGCCCCTGTTGCCATGGCAAGCACAGGGCACCATTGGCAACAGGGGTGCCAGGCGGCCAACACAATATCAAAATGTTTTCCTGGCACACTCACAAGCTAGCATGTAAAAAAACCTGTCTCACACTAAGGTTAAAAACAGAGGTTTGGATACACGTCTTCTGCAGAAAATGTGAAAGCCGCACAGCCGCGCCAAGGCACCTCTTATAGTGCGGTCCTAACTCTAAACTATGAGAGTCTCCATCTTGGAGCACATGGGGCCTCAATCTCTTTTTCTATTTCAAAAGGGAAATGTCAAGGGTCTGTTTAGACCCCCAATATTTCCCCGAAGCCCCCAACAGTAAAAAAAAAAAATAATAATAAAAAAAAACACGTCTGTTGAGGGGGCACAATTTTCTGTTCTTGCCTCGGGCGCAAACGGAGCAAGCTACGGCTCTGTATCAAACTATGCACAAAAACCATTAAAATATAGCTAAAGCCAAAAAGGAAGGAAAGGGTTAAAGCCATCAAGTAAGGGTTGCCATCTGCGTCCCATTGGGGACATTTCCTTTCCTCTTCTGTTCTGTAGACTCAAGAGGAAGTGATATCTTCAATTTGAGGGAAGTCCTCTGGTTAGTTGGCACAGGAACAAGTGCCCCCATTGGATGATTTCCTCTTTATTCCTGTTCTGGCGGCAACTCCCAATTTTGTATTCACCCTCACTTTCATTCTCAAGTGATTATGATGATCAGAGTAATTAGGGAGAGTGAACGTTATGGGGGAAAATGTTGCAATATTAATTGTGCCTAAGCAGTGGCCTACAAAAATAACTTATGTCTCGAATTCCTCATGGAAATAGCAATGCAATCCTATTAAATGAGGGTGCCTAGGCTCTCCTGTGTATGAAGACCAGTTGCATATCTGCAGTGCGAGATCTAAGGCCCTGCTGCCTCTGAATTCCATTTGCAGGAGATCCAGAGAGAGGTTTGGTGATGTTATTTGTGTGCTTTTCACTCTTGTTCTCGCTGGAAGCTCTAACATGAGGAAATAAAAGACCTGCCTCTAAGATGGCTGTCTCTACATAAAGACACAGTTTAGAATAAGGTATTGTAAGTCAGCAATGAGGAGATGTCAGCTACAGGGAGACTAAAGACAATACAGGTGACTAGTCCTCTGCCCTCTCTCAGCCTTTTTGTGGGCTCATCTTCCAGTGTTCAGTTTAAAGAATATTTCATCTTCTACCCTGGAATGAAGCTGAGAAGATCAGATGAGTTTAGGGATTTGGGATCATTGTTATCTAAATGAAATCTGTGAAAAGATCTTGTGACAAGTCTAAAGGCAGCTGTCACACGTGACCATTCTGTGCCTGCCAGCTTGTCCCCCCAGCAAGATATACTAATGGATCCATGATCCAAAATCGTAATAGTTTACACCTGTTTTACCCATGTAAAACACATTTTTTTGTTAAACATTTTTAATTTATTTCCAACACAATCAGATTACCAGGTTTTTAGCAGAGTACAACACTAACATTTTTTAACTTTACTGGCCAAAGCCCCAAAACGAATTGTGCTTCGTATTTTAGTCCCAGTGACATCATCACTGGGTCTCTGCATGTCTCTGTGCAATGCAAGCAGATTACGGTGGGTGGGAGGGGCTGCCAGGGTGCTGTAAATAGCTTCCTATAACATCACATCAACCTGCCTCAGTACCCCCTGTTAAGAGCTCTCATCACTGATGCAATGTAAGCAATGGACTCGCTCTTGGGAGAAGTTATATCTAAATGCCTTGATGAGTTGATGTCAGTCTGCAGGAGTGGGCATTCCTATAGAGACTTCATTTGCATATAGACTGCTCTATGTTCTTTCTGGATGGCACTTCAATGCACCTCCTGGCAGGCAAGTGGATGGGCATGTGTGGTGCTGCACTGCAACACATAATACCACAATAGAATGCGTTGCATTGCCACGCAGTGAACAAATGCAAAATAATGCTGAGCTCCCGAATGTC